CTCAAAAGTAACACTTCAACATAGAACTCGTACCTTAATTAAATTTGCATACTGAATAAATATAAAAAAAATTATTTTTAATAAAGAAATTGAGTTTCTAATATCATAATAATTATTACCATTATTATTATTATTATAAAAATTTGAAAACAGTGAATGTGAGGCAATATGTTTCAAAGTCCTATTATGCCTTATAATGCCCTGTATGAGTTACGACTAATGGCTACGTTTACACCATGCGTTTAGTCCGCGACCTATACAATAGATGTCTTTGTTTAATCTACAGGATAAACAAGGACATCTATTGTATAGGCCGCGGCCTAAATGCACGGTGTAAACGTAGCCAATATCATCCTTGAGTTCGAGCGTTTTATGTCTCCGCGCACGATCTAAATGCCATGAAATAAAAGGAGTGAGGACGATGATAGGCAAAATCGGTCGAAATGTGCAACTCGACTGCAGGCCTGACATAGATCATAAAAACATGTAAAATTTTTTGCACAATGACAACATTTAACAAATCCAATTTTTGTATTAACTGCACGTTATTTTGTAAAAATTAAATCTGAAATAAATCAATGTATGCTGCTTCTGTGTCAACTTTCTGGATTTTGAAAATGTAATAAATATATATTCTTATATTCACTCATTGTATGATCGACTTTTTTAACTTGTCCAAAGATTCCAAGGAGTTTTTCATGGGCTATTATAATCGGGATAGTGAAGCAATACATATAGAAAAAATGGATCTAAAGGTTCATTTATTTTTTTTCGCTGTGCATGCCGTTTAAAAAAAGTGTAGAAAATCAAAATTAAAATCCACAGTATACAGCAGTAACCAAGCACTTTACGCTATAATAATTCAATAAATAAAGTTATATGTACGGTTTGGACATACATACAGGGTGTTTCCAAATTAAATGGCAAAACTTCGGGAGCGTGTAGAGGAGTAAAAAACTAAGAAAAAAAGTCCTATAGACATATGCTCGTTTTTGCTCCGTTTCAGAGAAATCGAAAAAAAATGTTTACATTTCTTGCCATATCTAGCACCGACATATTTGATTACATTTTCCACTTTCTGTTATGAATTTGTCAGTCGCTCTTTGAAAGCCTTTAACAGTAGATGAATTTTGTCTTTTGCAATATGCCGCGTACGTATTCTAATAGTGAATATGCTGATATGGTTTTTGTATACGGTTTCTGCAACGGTAATGCTTTAAAGGCGGTGCGAGAATATGCACGACGATTTCCAAACAGAAGAGTGCCAAACCGAAGAGTGTTTATGTTGACATTTAATAGATTGCGAGAGACTGGAACATTTTCAATTCGACAAGAAAACAACCGATTTCAAGCAGCGTTACGAAGAGATTTGCAGGCAGGGAATCGTATTTTACAACATTTTGACAATCATCCTGAGACCAGCGTTCGGAATGCGTCGGCTGTATTGGGAGTGTCACCACAAACAATTTGGCGAACTGTAAAAGGAGATAATCGCTATCCCTACCACATTCAAAAAGTGCAAAATTTATTACCTCAAGATCATTGGAACAGATTGAACTTTTGTAACTGGTACCTTCAGACATGCCACAATGATATTTTATTTCCATCTAAAATAATGTGGTCAGATGAGGCAACATTTACCAGAGGTGGAATAATTAATCAAAGGAATTAT